CTTTTAAGCCCTGCCTCCATGTGACTGATACTCACATCACATGGCTATCGTTGACACCTAATTAACACTTATTGTTAGCAGGGGGTGGAGTGATACTGGCAATGGCCGCACTGTAGGAGGGGGACAACTGAAAACGGAGGCCTCCACCTCTGTATTGCACCTTATTCAAAATCAATGCGGTCCCACGGCCCTCTGCGGCCCACAGTTAAAAACTGTTGTTCTTTTGAGGCCCTCAAGGTGACACTCACGGCCCACAATTGGGCCGCGGCCCATAGGTTAAGAATCTCTGATCTAAAGCACTGATTAGTCTCTATAGATTGATTTACCTGTATTAGCTTTGTAGAGAGACCTAGTGTGAATGTGAGTGTGTGTGAATGGGTAAATGAGGGCACAGATTATTGTGTAAAACWCTTTGGGTATTCTGTTTGGATAGAAAGATGTTATATAAGTACAGTCCGTTTACTGTAAAAACAATATAATGCCTGTATTATGTCTTTGAATATGCCTATATTAGATATTTGTAAAAATCGCTGTCTGTTCCTATTTGCATTTACTGTATTTTATTCATGTATAATACTAGAAATTTAACCCTAGAAATCATTCATAAAGTAAGGGGTAGTATATACATGGGTTATTGGCGATTAGATTTTCTGTGCTTTTTAAGCTCAAAAAATGATGATCGTATCATACATGAATAAATATGGTAATTGATTTGTGTTTCCTGTATGCCTTTATTATTATTATTATTATTATTGTTATTATTATTATTATTGTTGTATTCTTTATTTTTCTTAGGTTGAAGCTCCGTTTGTCCCAAAGTTCAAAGGACCTGGCGACACCAGCAACTTCGACGACTATGAAGAGGAGGAGATCCGCGTCTCCTTCACTGAGAAATGTGCCAAGGAGTTTGCTGAGTTCTAAAATTTAGAGAAAATGAGAAAAAAATGGAAGTAAGGTCGAGTTAAAGTTAGGCTGGTCAAGAGGGGACACTAAAAAAAGTCTATTGTCTCCTGTCTAAATACAAGCACCAGCTACAAAAATGGGGGAAATGAAAGAGATCGGAGACCGATAACCAGCAGTGTTGCCTTTTTTGTTGTATTTTATTTATTATTCTCTTATTTATGAATCCCTTTATAATGAGGCTGTGTTTCATGGGTGTCAGGAACCCCCAYGTACTTCAATTTGCCTCTACACATTTTCACCCAAGATCTTCCCTTTTTTCTGTACAATTCATCTTTTACTCTTTTTTTTTTGGGGCCACAACATTATAGTCGTTACATGAACCTGAGTCCACGCTCACAGATGACTCATTTAAACCGGCAACACAATCTTTGCTTGGTGAACAAAACACACACTCATAAGGTAAATATGTTGTGCATATTTTATCTTAATGTGTTTCTCCCTTATCAATGATAAGACATTTTAAGGCATGAGGGGCCAAAAGACAGATGACAAAAAAATAAATAAATAAAGCTGTTTATTATGTAATTCCATCTATTGTTATATCATTGTTGTTGTATTCAGACTGTACATATCTGCAGCACTTCATTTTTAAATGTTAATAGACACTAGTGGCTCCACTGAAACCATGTATGCTAACAAATAAGGAAATACGAATAAAGGAATTTTTGCTTTACTGGTTTGGCAAAAACACCTCAACATAATGGAAACTCAGGTTTGAACATATCATTTAAAAGACATTTATCTACATGAAGCTTAAGAATCAGCTGGTAAAACTTCTTTTACAGACACGATTTGGGAATTTAAAGTTTGGCTTCAAAATTACAAAGGAACAAAAAGGGACTATTTAGACTTTTAGTTGGTGTCTTCCACAGTTCTCCCTTCCAGATGATTTGAGTTTTGCTAACTTGGCAAGTTTTGATAATAATGATAAAAAAGCACTTCCTGTTTCAGCTCAGAGTTCACGTTCTGCTTGTAATGAATCAACCACTCTGACTTAAATAGACCGTCTGAGGCAGACCACCTCAAACGTCTTCTGACTGATGGTCCTCAGTATTTTGTCCCATACAAACGGCAGTCTGAATAATATACTTTATCTTCATCTCGCCCACCACTCTCCATGTAACCATCTATAACATGTACCTGAAACTCTATTTCTGGGTTCAATTTTTGCTAACTTTCTGGTTGTGTGTGTGTACGGTGGTGATAATTAAAAAAAGTGATGATTTAAAGAGGATTGGTACTTTATTAAAAGAGGAAGCGCACCAGGGGGTGAATRGTTCTTGTTTTGTGGAGACACAAATGTGTTCTTAGTGCACTGGGCAGTAAAATACCACAAACAGCACCTCATGTGGCCAGGGTCAGAGAGCAGAGTGTTTCAATAATGTCCAGAATAGGGGTCATTGTTAGATTTTAATCATGGGAATTTGTTTAAAAGAAACATGACACCTGTGTCAGTTTTAAACTTGAAATAGAATTTCCTTATGACTGCGTTTTGAACACGAGAAGGATGAAACTGTTTGATTTAATCATGTTAAGCTCCGGACATAATTTACTCTTGTGAGTCCCTCATGTTTGAAATGGCTCAGRAATGGGGAAAAATATAACAAAATGTGTCTCAGAATTACACGTGTAATGTTGAAATGACAACATGAAGGATGTTTGTTATTTTATCTTTTTATTTCCTTTAAGGTGGGCTTTTCAGTTTCACAAAAAAAAACATTTTTCCGTATAGGAGAGAGCCTCTCGCTAACACCCACCCCACCCCCAACTCTCTTTATAAATGGCCCCAGATTTACAGTGTGGCAATTTGTCTCAAATGCAGATGCATCAATATCTGGTGATTAAGTGAAGGTCTGAGATGGACTCTTCAAAGATTTGTTAGAAACTGTAGTTTTAAAGAGGCTTCCAGCAGAAAAACAGCAATTATCTAGCTATTTTTTATATATGTTATTATNATACATACACTGTATGGGGGAAAAGCAGTTTGCAAACACACGAGGCTGACTCCAAACAGTAACGCTAATGTTAGAAGCTAAGATCTGGTGTAGGTGTTGTAAACGACTCCCAGCTACAACCACAACCATTTTTAGCACAAACTCTTTAAAACTGTCAGAATTACAGCAATTTTAGTGTTTTCAAAACCAGTTAGCTGTGGCAATCTGTAGATCCCATGATTGCTTCCTGCAAGTTTCATTAAAATCCTATCACTGTTTTCTAAAATATTTTACTAACAAACAAACAGTACTGACTCCAATTTGTTAATGGCAAAATTTTAAGCTCAAAATATGTGTTTGGAATCAGTCTCAGCTACTACCACATCAAAAGTTAGGTTAATGTTCATAGAGTTTACTGAATTGTTCTTATTATGAAAGTCAGTCACTTGTGGATGTACATTCTGGGATTACTTTCTGCAAATATTTAGGAAAACGTGTCCTGTGGTAAATTTAAATCTAAAGTAACGAAGCTGAATCAAGCCCAAGACTATGGTCATGGTGTCATTTTTCCAAAAGAGGGTCAATTATAAACATGCACAAATGACAACAGTAAATCTGGGGCTTGTGTTATAAATGTGTCTCCGTTTCTCACAATCTGAGCCTGAAATTTTTTCTCTTTTGCCAATTTGACTCATCATATTCAGTTTTCCACTACAGTTTTCTCCTCTTTCCCACCGGAGAGAAACAGCAGAAAAAAATCCAACGTTACTGATAAGTCTGAAGTCATTTTGAGAGAGAAAAGTTTGAATGAAGCTGCACACTTCTGTTAGTCACAAAACATTGTTTACGTCTCTTCTTCATATTTCCTTCATTTCATATTTAGTATTGATCATTCTGCAGAAAATGTTATGTTTTATGATATTATGT